TATATATATATATATTAACGTTATAAATAACTGTTAAAAAAATTATAAATATTATTATGAGACTAATAGATAATAATTGGCATATTTTATATTTGGACGTGACATTGCAAATCATCTTTCCATAAATATTGAAAAATCAGATCCTAAGTGGCATGAAAATTTGAGTTTGCAAGTTCTTTTCGTTGCAAAAAAATTCACAACTGCTAGTTACTCTTAAAATCACACAAATTATACAAAGAATTTATTTTTAAGGTTCAAGTATATTTGAATGTCAATCTAAACTTGGGAGGTTAACGAGCCGAGTTGAACCCGAGATTGGTCAGACTCAGCTTGGGCTTTATGAGAGGTTCGAGCTTGAGCTCGGCTCGATTCGAGCTTTATTGTATCAAGCTTGGCTCGAGCTTGTGGAGAATTATACAGGCTTAGCTTAGCTTGGCTCGAGATGAGTTCGTTTTTTGTACGATGAGCCTAAATAACTAAATAAGTATAGACTTGGTTCAAGCTCGTTAAGAAGTTCGTTTACTAATAACCTACATCCCTAATTCCTCAAATATTTTTTTATTTTTTTATATAAAAAAATAATGTGTATTATATATATAGGCTCATTTAGGTTCTTTAAGCTTGCGAGCTCACTGATTGAAGATCAGCTCGAGCTAGTTTAGTAAAAGAGTCTCATATTTAAGCTCGAACTCGACTCGGGCTCGGTTAATTCGATCTCGAGTCGAGCTTTTAACGAGTCGGTTCCGAGTATCTCACGAGTAGCCCGGCTCACTTACACCCTAATCTGAATCGTAATGAACCCCTTGTATATGTTTGTTTTGGTTATTAAATATTATTTATTTAAACTCAAAAAAGAAAAGCGTATTTATGTTTAATAATCTTATGACAAATGAATCATGGTTTTATTTGTATCTTTTTTTATAGTATTATAAAGATAGCGGTGTCCATAAGGCAACGTGAACCAAAACGTGTTTGCCAAGTAAAAAACCGTTGCACGCATCCTCTCTAATAAATGAAGGTTTTTTTTGCCACTTGTCAAACTCTTATTCAATTTGTCAAATGTCATTTTATAGTTATTTTGAATTAATTCTTTTTCCACATGTCATTTTATGAGTTTTCTATTTTATTAAATTTCATATAATATTTTAATGTAATAATTGCAATAAATGTAGTAATAAATTGATATCAATTTTATTAATGAAGTTAATTTTTAATTTCAAAATTTCCAAAATTAAAGCTCATTAATTTCTTTTATCTATTTAAATTTAAAAGATAAAAAACATTTTTATTATAACAATTCATTATTTTTCTTATTTTCTTTTAAGTTCAAAGTTCTCAAATATTTTAACCTTTATATTTATTTATTTTTTTAAATTAACTCGTATAATATATAAGTCTCACAACTAGTTATATATGATATTACGAGGCATTTGATTTAAGTTACTATAAATATTAGAAAAAACATCATAAATGGTCCCTGTGATTTCCCCAGATCTGAAGTTTAGTCCCCGTGATTTAAAAACATCATAGATGGTCCATGTGCTTTGAAAACTTTTGACGATTGGTCCTTATTGCTAACTCCGTTAAGTTTTGTATGTTAACCGAAGGGCATTTTGGTCATTTCACTGCCACAAGGACCATTTATGATGTTTTTTTGTTATTTAAAAAAAATTAAATAAATTATTTCTCTCTCTCTCTCTCTCTCTCTCTCTCTCAACTCAACAACTCGATTCCTTCCCCGAATGTTCATCAAACCATGTTGTTGCCATTTCCGATAAACCATTTCTTCCAAATTTAAATTCCAGTGGTCAGATGAACACATTACTCCTTAATCACCACCGGCCCTGATTTCTCCTCCTCCCACGAACCAAGAAAATTCCAAATAATGATCATAGAAATGAAGATATGTGAAATTTTTTGTAGCCTAAAGTTTTTTGGTTACAATCAACCCAGAACCAGATGTGAGAACTAAAGAAAAGAAAATGAGCAAGAAATCGACTTTCTTCAATGCCTGCTTATACCGGTCTTGCTTGTAATCGAATACATAGGGGAACGAGACTCAGCCTCTTCACCACCGAAGATGGATGTGAAGCAACATGAGAAATCTGTTTCCCTCCATGGGATTTTGATGGAGGACTGAAACTGAGAAACAGAAGTGAGAGCAGTGACAAGGGGTTGTCGACAGGGATGTTACAACCGGTCAGTGGCGGCGACAACGGTACAAGTGGGTGCTTTAGTTGGACCGGGTTCTGGAATCGATTTGAGTTCTGATTTTAGGGTTTTAGAATCGATTTCAACCTCATAACACACACAGATGTAGCGTCAGAGATGGGGGTCTTCATACTCAAAAACCTTTTTGTACATGTTCGTTTATGGTCGTCGGAATCTAATCGGAACCCTAGCAGCTTCTAGCACCAGAGATGGGGGTTTTCGGGGTTTAAAGGGTAGGGTGCAATAGGTTATTTTTTTCTTTAAAAAAACTAAGTTAATTTTAGTTATTTATAATCCGATAATTATAGTTCAATACATATCGATTGAAGGCAAACGGGCAACAAGCTGCGCCGCTAGCCCTTTCTGGATGGC